GATCGATCGTTAGCAATAGGAGTTGATGCACGGATTAAAGGAGGTGAATGTGATGTCTTTTGATCCGACATGATGTGGATCACATTTGACATTCCATATATAAATATGATGTGTTTGTTATGTTGTCGTTAGATAGACTCATAAGATGGTTATAAGCTGATAGAAGAGAAGAAGAAGAAGAAGAAGGGGAAGAAAAAAAACGATGCAAAGGCATTTCTATCGACGATCTGATAATTTCTTCTTTTAGTAGTTAGTATGCCATGATAAAGCGTAATAAGGAAAAGAGAAAAGAACATGTGCATACCTCGTTCTTGTCGTCAATCGTTCCACTAGACGTAGGAGTCAACCCTGTGAGTGATGTACTACTTAGTATAGTACCACTTGTTGATAATCCACAAGTTTCTTCGATATTAATTACAGGCTCAGTTCTTTCTCTATCATTCGAACAAGTACTTAATTCAGGTGTTGATTGACATGTTGCATCTTCGTTTGATTTGATTTCGTTTGAAGAATTTTTTATTAAATTATTATTTGTTGAACTATTAAATGTATGACTACGTTTAACTGATGCTGGACTATTATTTCGACTTGATGATGAATCTCGATTAGCATCAACAAATTCAAAACGACCAATTGGTTCCTATATATATATATATATTGAAAGAATATTTTTTTAGAATAAAATTTTATTTACTTGATATTTTTTATGAACAATAACTGGTCGAAAGGGACTTAAAGATTTCGGTGGAAGAATATCAATTGGTGTTGGTGATAATGGTTTTCTTTCAATAGGTAAATCTCTATCAAGTTGAGGAATAATTGTAGATTGATTTAATGTATGACGTCGATTTAATTCACTAATAAGATCAAGTAATGGTCGACGATCAAATGTTTCTTCTTCATCAAATTTTGTTGGTGTTGTAAGATTTTCTGAAACAAAATTCGATATCATCGATGAATAGGATTCATCATTTGGTATTGATGGATAGGAAAATTGTGTTTGAATATTTTTTTCAAGTTCACTTCCTTGTGGTGATGAACTAACACTAACACGAACACGTTGTATAGAACTACTTGAAGTTTGTCGTTGTTTTGGTTGTACATTAATATGATTTGGTGTTGTTTCAGTTTTAATAATTCGTGTAACGATAGATGGTGATGTTGATGTTGATTTTGTTTTTGTACATATTTTATCTTCTTGTGTTGTTTTAACTTCAATTTTTCTATTATAACTATTTGTTTTAACTTCAAATGATATTTGTTTTTCTTTTATTATTGGATTAGATTTTTCTTGTAGAATATTTTGATTTGGTATTGAATGTGATTCAGTTGGTAAAAATTTAATATTTGACATAGTTCGTATACGACGTAATGGAACATAGATTGATGTTTGCTTTTTGATTAATTGTGGATAACTATGAATACGACGAAGTTTTATTTTTGAACTAAAAATAAGAGAGATAAGAAGACGGAAAAAAACAATTTTCTATACTAACTTTGGTAAATGAACAGATTTTATTTTAATTTGTTGTTGTTGACGAACATTGGAAGATAAATGATCGTCGTTTTTTTTAAACGATCGATCGTTTATTTTTTCAATTGTATGATCCGTTTTTGTTGAAATTTGTTTATTACATTTATTATCAAAATTATTTTCAAGTGCTTTACGTTCTAATTCAAGTAAACGTTGTGTAAAACGTTTTAAACGAGCATATGCTGTTGTTGTGGAATTTAATGATGAATTATATTCATCAAATGATGATGATGATGGTGATACTGTTCGACTACGAAACCACCACGAATTACGATAACGTGAAAGATATAATGGATTTGTTCGATTTAAATTTATATGATCAGTTGAACTTGCGGAATAAACTCTTTCACGTCGATCATATTGTAAATTATCTAATTGTCCATTTGATAAACGAATCTTTGAAATAAGACAACAGAAGAAAATACTTGTTCAGATTAATATATAGCAAATGATTTTGTTTATAGTGAATGTTACTTAGTATAAAATAAAAATCAATATAGAGAAAAGAGAAAGAAGAGAATAGAAATAATTACGCTGCCTGTTGTTACATATACAAGAGAGAAATCTCATCGGTACAAACAGTATGTGATCAACAAGAAGCAAAAAGAGAGAGAGAGAGCTTTCTCGTCGTTCGTTCGTTCTGTATCATCATAGATTACCAAATGTCGATACATATGCCGAGCTGCTCGTCCTGATAGCTTAGCCAAGAGCACTGTCAAAAATGGTCGATTGAGGGGGACGGGTTTAACATCATTCTGCTGTTGCTGCCATTTAGTAAGAAACACTTTTTTTTTTCTCTCTCTCCTTCTTCTCGATTTTCTTTTTTTTCTCTTGCTGATATCTGCTCGTCGTCTTATGTATATCTGTAAATGATGAGCTTAGAGAAGAAACATACAATCGCCAGTAGCAGCGGTGTGCTCTTTTGTTTTGCTCTTCGTCAGGGTCGTCAACATCATCAATGATTGTTGTTACCGACAAAGAAATAACTTAGAAAAAAAAAGGAAAAATATATATCAGCACATACTAAATTTATCCCTCGAGTAAAAACATGAGATCAATCAAATTCAATGTCATCTAGTCTATATAATCCTATAAATTTATATAGAAACAAAAAAAGAAAAAAACGAAGAGATATTTATTATTAATGTTGTTAATTTAGATCGAATTAATGAAAAGTAACAAGTTTCTTATCGAGAATTTAATGATAATATTATTCAATAAAGACAAAAAAAACAAGACAGATAAGAATAAAAGACAAAAAAATAAATTTACGCCTTATTTTTCTGTCAATCGACGCGCGCATATATTTAGCCCTCAAGTAGATATGAGTCAAAGGATAAATAGATATATGTCGAAAAAAGATTATGATTAACGAGACTTAACAACAAATTTTCTGGCTTTATATTCACACGTGTTACTTATGGACATACAAAATATATAATTATCTAAATTTGTTTCTTTCCCCTTTTTTATTTTTATATTTTTTAACTTACAGAAAATCTTCGTCGCCAATTAATATTTGTCACGTACAGACATTTATCGATATCTTCATTAGATAAAAAAGATGTTAATGAACTTGTTAATGGACGAGTATTTTCAGCATCCTCATCATCATCATCATCGTCGTCAGAAGTCATTGAAGACAATGATCCATCACCTTGTGCTTGATCATCATCAGTATTGTCTGACAAAAGAAGTCGATCGTCCATAATATGTACTATATCTCTGTCTTTTTTTTTCAGTATATTTATATATGAATCTATACTTAAGCACCCAGATGTGCGATACTGATGATGATGATGATCTTTCTTCTAGTCAAGAAAAAAAAAAGAAAGACAAAAAAAAACATGTAATGTTGGCAAGTGTCGACGGGTGTGTGTCTGGATCATCATCATCAAACAAATGTCAGTACTATTTCGCTTTTTATCATATCCAAATCATTATGATTTCTTTTTTTTTCATTTCTTGTATTACGTCAAGTAGTAATTTGTTTACATACATTATCATTAATAAAAACATAAGTAAGTCCATTAAGAATATTTGATTATACACAAATTTAGTCAAGGCATAAGAAAATTAATTGATATCAGGTATAATTGTCTAGTTTATTCGAATTATTGAACATGAGTAACACAAATATTTTATTAAGTTAACAACGATTGAAAATTTTAGTATATATTAAATAGATACTATTTTTGTCATTCTTCACGTTATGTAAATATATAGAAAAAGATAACAAATCAATCATAATATAAAGAGATGACATCATTTATCTTTCGAAAACAAACTTTATTAATTTCAATTAATGAATGAATAACTTAACATAGAAGTCGAATAATTCCCTAGACGGAAAAGGATAGGGTCTAGAAATGGAAATTATCCTTTTACATGTACTATTTTTGTCGGTAACATGGCACAAGTAACCATTTTTTTGGTACAAATGATCATTATTTTATTCAATAAATTGAAATAACGAGGCAACGCCAATTTTATTTTTAATATGCAGGAAGATGAACATAATATTAATAGCAAAAAAACGGAACGTTCATATGCACAGAGTATTATAAAGCTTTGAAAAAAATGTTCGCCTATTTCTATATGGCATGTCATTTATCATCATCCACAACGTCCCGTACAGCAACTCAATAAAATACGACTCAGGATTAAAAGCTTAAAAACATACGCATTGTAGTTTGATCGTCTTGCTATAGTGCATATAGATAAAAGAGTTCAAAATTAATTTTGACATATAATGATAAAAAGATCTACATTGTAGTTTTTTTTTGAAATCCTACTTTTTATAAAATTGACTGTAATAATGCTTGGTTTTCTACTAAAAGTCAAAACCAATATTGAATAATTCTCATTCGTATCTAAATACAGTTATATCAGCATGCAGACTGCGACAGTCTAGAGCCAAGTAAATCGAATTTCGGTGAATGCTACTTGTAGTTATTCAGACTTAATTAATTATGATGGGCAATAGATGTGAATTAATTCTTAAAAAAACAAAGACTAACATATGTGATGAACCATAATCATCAATAATTATTAAAGACGGGTTTGCAGAAAGCTCATCAATAGCTTTGTGGATGTATCGTTTCGAACTATCTACTCACACTCAATAATGATGTGTTATTTCTTTTACATACTCACAAAATATGCAGGTTTTCAAAAAGACAGCATACGTCTTATCGCTAGTTTATAATAATAAATTATCAGCATAGAAGCACAAGACAATTTTGAATGATTATCAAATAGAATAGAGAACTTTGCATTCCGAGAGGAAAACAAGTGATAATGTATAAGACTATCTAAATAATCTACGTAGATCTGATGATTGCATCTCAAACCGATTTCACATTCAAGATCTTTTTTTCGTAACAAATACCAATCAATAAATAAAATTTTATTATATTGAATCATTCCACATGAAGAATAATAAAAGAAAATAAATATAGTTGATTTATTCGGGTAAATCTAGAATTTCACCATGTTTCAATACAATAAAGGATGTTGGATCAAGATGATTATTTTGAAGTACTTGTTTAAGTTTTTTTGGTGGTTCCATAAAATATTCATTACTCATAGTCCATGTACCCCAATGAATACCAATTGATTTATTTGATTGAACATCTTTATGTATTTGAACAGCTTCATCCGGTGATACTTGTTCATTTTTCATTACTGATCGTGGTTCATAAGTACCAATTGGTATAGCACTTAAATCAAATGGACCATATTTTTGACCAATTTGTCGAAAAATTGAAATATTATGTGTATAACCCGTATCTCCAGCATGATAAAATTTATATGTATTATCCCAAATAGCAAAACCACCCCATAAAGATTTATCTGTATCGAATAGACCACGACGACTCCTATAATGAAGAAATGTGTTTCATCATTCAAATAAATCAATAAATCTTACCAATGTTGAGCTGGACAAAACGCAATATTAATATTTTTTTTCTAAAATATCAAAATCATTGTAAAAGATTTTTCAAAAAATGAAAATATTCTTACTAAAAAGAAATATTCTTCCCACCAATCGAGTTCGATAATATTCTTAACATACATATTCGATAACGATTCTCGAACTCCTCGACCACAAAACCAAGTTAATTGTTCACCATAACGATTATTTAAATCTTTTACACTAAGATAATCGAGATGATCATAATGATTATGTGTTATAAATATAGCATCAAGATCATCTGGTAAATTATTAACTGTTAAAGCAGGTGGTCGAAAACGTTTTGGTCCGAAACGTGAATACATACCGCATCGTTCACTATATTAAATCAATTCTTGTTTTTCTTATCGAAACAAAATGAAGATTTACCTGAAAACTGGATCAATAAGAAATCGAAAGTTATTCATTTGAATAAAACATGATGCATGTCCAATCCAAATAAATCTTAGACCAGGTATGGTTCGATTGAGATCTTCACGTTTTCGATGTTGAATAATCGGTAAAAATTTATCAAGTTCTTCTTTTGTATTTGGTAATTGTACATTGGATCGTGTTGTTATCTTATATTTTAAAAACGACATAAAACCAGATGTTGTATATTGTGAATTAAATGAATTAACATAACGTCCATTTTCCATTCGAGATTTGATAAATTCATCATTTGTAAAATTCGTTGCTGTTACAGAGTTAAATAATACCAAAAAAACTGCGATGTAACTAATCTGTAGAAACATTTTCATCCGAAGTGCAAAATACAAATGATTGTTTTTCTAATCAATGTATTTGTAATACTATACACTAATCTTTTTTCACTAGAATATGATACTTCACGTAATATACGATGAATTAGATCACAGTCCATTGATGAAAAGTGCACAATCAATCATAACCTTTTTTTCTTACTGAATAGTTTTTAGAAAACTCGATGATATCAAAGTGAAATCATATAGAATAGATCTTCGAAATTTTCATTTTGTTCTTAACAACAAAAAACAGAATATTCCCTGGACTGAAAGGAGGATTATATGAGAAAAAAAATAGTTTGTATGTTGGTCTGTGTCAAGGTCAAAAAAAACATCCACTTACACATTGACCATCAAATGTTTTCGATATCTCATATCATCCAATCAGATTCTTTTTAGGTGGGGACGGACGTTTCTTAGAAATAAATGAATTTTTATAAAATTTGACCAATGGTTTTGTAATATAGATCATCAAATACATACAAATATGTTCATACTCGATTATCGTATTTAAATAGCCCTTTCCATTGTGCTTTTTCATTACCTATGTCATTTCACTCACTAAAGAAAGTAATCGTACCATGTGTCTGTTCTTCAGATATGTGTATATATTGATTTAAGAATAGTTTTGAAATCAGAATCTAATCATAGCTAACACATTATAAGTGGTTTGAAATCAGTCGATGGTCAAGCGAGTCCACTTGACGAGCGTTACTTGTTCTCTTAGCATATTTATATCAGTAGTTAACATTCTACTTCGTAATGGGTCGAAATATATTCAGATATAAAGAAATGCTAGATACTACATATGAGTGTGGGTGTGGATGAAGATAAAGTAGATATATCCGCGCCCTTAATCACTTACGAAATGAAAGGAATTCACAGATCAGTTTTTATCGTATCCGCTGAGATGTAATCGAAACATAGGATTACTTAATTTTTAAATAAAAACTCATAAATCGTCTGTTTCGTGTCTTTACCGAAAAAATCATATACTTTATTATGTAAGGAACGTACTTCGTTCGCTACGACGCGTACAAGTTCACCCATTTTTCCTACGAAGAAACGAAAGTGAAATTATTTCGCTACTTACGTCCTACGGCCCATCACTAACTCTACTTAGATCTTATATTTTGACTTTAGTTAATTATCTAATCTTATGTTATATATAGATGAAAATTCGTACTATTTGTCTCGAAACTACATCCGAATTCTTTTTAAAAAAATGTTTATTCGATAATAAAATATTCGTTAATAAAAAACACTACACTTCAAAAATATAATACAAACTAATAAAAAAAATAACTAATAAACTATTCTTTATTTTTCATAATTAAATTGTTTTTGTATGGATAGAAAATAATTCGCAATTGCATTATGAAATAAAATTAATTGTTGTTGCATAACTTTAATCTAAAAATATTTCATAATTATATGAAATATATATGTTATATTAAAATACGTACTCGATTATCATCGAGTAATTTTATTTTAACTATAAGATTAGCTTTTAATTTTTCATAGCGATCTTTAAAATGATAATATTGTCTTTCAATATGCTCTTCAGAATTGGATAATGTTACACCACCTGTATGATTTCGTGATAATACTAATTCATAATCATATCGATATGCATCATATTCAATTCTAAATAATAATATTAACAATAAAAAAAATTAAAAGTAAAATTTACCTTGATTTTTCATAAGCTTTAACTGTCATTAATGTATCTTCCATTGTTTTTGTTACTAATGTTTGTAATGCTTCGACAAATATATTGATTGAATCTAAATAAATAAATAAATTTTTATTTTTCGTATGAAATATTTTTTTGTTTTACTTAGTAAAGCATCTCCATTAGAGGCTAAGGTTTTTTGACAATGTCCATTTCGAGCAAATTGATTAGTAAGTTCAATTGATGTTGTTGTCATTCGTTGTAATTCAGTAAATGATTGACCTTAATTTAAATTTATTTTATTTTTTAATAATTATAATAATAAAAATTAATTATTTTAATTTACTAAGTGAACGTTGTGTTTGAAGAATACCAGCAAAATGTATTGACATTTGACGAGCTTCTTTTAATAATTGTTCATAATGACGTTTTGTTTCTCGAAAAACCTAGATGATTATATACATTTATTTAATAGAAAGAAATTTCAATTAAACAAACTTCAATATTTTTCTCAAGTTCAGTATCTTGTGTTCTAATACATTGTCCAGTTCGTTCTTGAAGTACTTGTCGAGTAAATTTAATTGTACGTGTACTCCATTGACGTATTGTATCAAATGTATGTATCCAACCAAGTGTTGAACGTTGAGGAAGTGATAAAACAGGTGCATCTATATTAGAAAAGAAAAGTGTGTATATAGAAAATTAAATAAAAAAATTCTAACCAGGAGATTGAGAAGTGTCTAATAGACTGATATAACTACTTGGTGTTGATGGTGATTCATTTGGAACAATAGATGATTGCGTATTTGGAAAAAATGTTGATGACGAAGACATATTAACTATAGGACTTGACATTATTAGACTATAATTCGAAGTATAAAGAAAGAGGAATGAATAGATATGAACTGTATCCTCCCTTTTTTTTCTTCTTTCTTACATATAGTAAAGTGAATAACTTAAATAGACAAGCAATCAGTGAAAATACTTGATCTTCTTTTGGATAACCGTGACATCTACTGTAGTATGAAAGTTTTGAAATAAAATATATAAAAAGTAAGTTTATTGCATTACATAATTATTTTATCAGAGATCACAAGAATTAAACGTTTAGTGGCTAAATCTAGCTGAGTTTAGAAATTTTTCCGTCTAGATCTAAATGTCATTTGAAATATTTCCTCAGAGATTTCTATCATATGCATCGACGACAGCTATTTAAATAAACAGACTAGCAACCGCATGTACTTATTGTGATGGTTCGTATATTGATAATAAAACTATCAATGACATAAGATCCATTCTAGATCTGTGAAAACGATACTGAAGTTCACAAATGTATTTATACATATTAACTATGATGATAAAGTTGAATATAACAACACTCAGTTATATTACAAATAAAACAAATATTTTATTACATCTACTACAAAACTATTACTTCGTTCTCTACACTACCTGATAATGTACTAAGATAAACTATTCACAAACAATCATATACAAAAAATATTTTTGCTAACATGAACATGAGTTCATAAGATTTTACAAATGCGAAAGATCCAGACTATGATCTTAAGTGATAGTTGAACAATTTCATACTTTCTAGGATAAGTAGATATGAACAAGAAAAACTAGCTCTGTGTATAGTTTTGTCTTGATATTTCAAGAGAACTTCTCAGTAGATATTCTACATTAATCAATCTTATTTTTTCTGGAGTGACTTGAATCAATTAATTTAAGACTCACACGAAGATAATTACTGATCACAAAGAAATATTAAGTAAAAATCATATTAATATCGATTGTCTTTTGCTAAAATAAGGTAAGTTGAATGCCAGTATTTAGCTTAACTCATCAATATTTATATCCTCACTCTCATTCCGTCGTGTATCGAATATGAAATATAGATTGTTCCTTAGATTATTTGTTATTATTATTTACAGATATATTCATCTATATCATTCATGAACTTATCTCGAAGTCTTTGTATAAATGAAATATTTGAATGATGATTTATTCTAAATCCGATGAATACTATCAAAACAATCAAATATTATAAGTAACTATATAGCAAAACTAACAAGACATTTGAAAGGATAATTAAAACTATCGTATCAATTGTAAGTTTTGTTAATCATAATAAATTAATCTACAAGAATAAAAAGACAAAGATATTTATTTTTATTTGGAATCGAATATAAAAGTAAATGATAATTCCGCAAAAATATGGAAGGAAACATTTTGCGAATGTCACAAGCTGACATTTTTTCAAACTAAAGTTTTGTTAGGAATTTGAATTATTCGTAAGAAAAAGAGTAGGACAACTGAAAGTTAATTTGTTTGAAATAGTTAATATAATTCTGCACTATGTAAAGCACCACCATTATCATATCCACCAGTAACTAATACTAGTCCGTTTGATAATACAGATGCTGTGTGCCAAGATCGTGCATTATTCATGTTAGTAGTAGTTGTCCAAGTACCTGTTGATGGATCATACAATTCAGCACTATTTGAAAAACCATAATAATTCTCCCCACCAGTAACTAATACTTTTCCATTTGATAATACAGATGCTGCGTAAGCAGATCGTGCATTAGTCATGTTACCAGTAGTTGTCCAAATACCTGTTGATGGATCATAGAACTCAGCACTATCATAAGTAATATTACCATTGGCTCCACCAGTAACTAATACTTTTCCATTTGGTAATATAGATGCTGTGTGAAACCATCGTGCATTAATCATGTTACCAGTACTTGTCCAAGTACCTGTCGATAGATCATACAATTCAGCATTATTTAAATAACCATCATTAACATTGTATCCACCAGTAACTAATACTTTTCCATTTGATAATACAGATGCTGTGTGTTCTTCTCGTGCATTGGTCATGGTGCCAGTAGTTGTCCAAGTACCTGTTGATGGATCATACAATTCAGCACTATTTAAATAACTACCGCTATTGTATCCACCAATAACTAATACTTTTCCATTTGATAATACAGATGCTTTGTAATATTGTCGTGCATTGTTCATGTTACCAGTAGCTGTCCAAATACCTGTTGATGGATCATACAATTCAGCACTATTTAAAACATTATTACTATTGCCTATTCCACCTGTAACTAATACTTTTCCATTTGATAATATGGATGCTGTGTGATCTCGTCGTGCATTAATCATGTTACCAGTAGTGGTCCAAGCACCTGTTGATGGATCATACAGCTCAGCACTATTTAAACCACTTGTGTTAAAAAATCCACCAGTGACTAATACTTTTCCATTTGATAATACAGATGATGTGTGAGCACTCCGTGCATTAGCCATATTGCCAGTAGAAAACCATCCTAGTAGTTATATTTTTATATATTTAGACTGTATAACATTGGATAGTCAAACAACCAACATTCATTACGCTTGTGCACACTATTTTTCTTTATTCTATAAACGACAGTCTTTGATATCTCTCTCTTATATCACCTCAAACTTATGTAAATCGATAATAGTAGTCAAATCTATTGCACTAAATCTCTTCACATACCATTATCACATCTTCAGTTCTCTATATTTTTTATTTTCTTTCTTATCTCAATCAAATATATAAAAGATGTATGTCTGGAATTAGTTACTATGTTAGTTATACTAACTGATGTGTTCCTCGATTCTCTATCAATTTTACAAGCTATGCTCGAAAGATATTCAGGAGAATGAAAAGTATGAACTTCCCATCAACTCTTCGATAGTTTTCTGGATATCACAATCAAAATAATGAATTTTTCATGACATTTCTTCTTAAGATGATCAAGATATAGGTATGGCAAGACCTATATAGCATTCATCACTGAAACTGACATAAAACATGAACTAATGAGAAAATGAGTAATTAATCTCAAAGTTTCTGATAATTCACTATCAAATCATTGTTAGTTTTCCATTAATTTACACAAACCCACCTATTTAGTTTGTTTTGGCTGTATTCTCAGTCATATTTGATACTCATAATCCTATGCTATACTTAATGTTATTGACACAACAACATATTTTCGATATAGTTCAGTTTTTCATCTCGCTTACGTTTCTCTTGTTAGTTAACAATGAATATCATAAATCTATCTTAGTCTATGTATTACATTACTCTTCACCACAAGAAAAGCATCATTCGACAGAGGTTTCATACAAATGAATGATACCTTATTTATAACTATAAATGAAATTAATTGTTCTAGTTGAGTATGATGAAGTGATGAATTTAAATAATATGTATTAATACCTGTTTTACACATGTATGTTGCTGAGAATGGTAAACATACTGCTTGTGATGAACAACATGAATTAATAACACATATTGAATTATTTGATAAACATGTTTGTGTAATATTATCACATCTTTCTAATATTGAACATAAAATACCAGGTGCACAATAACTAATATTATTTATTGTTCGATAATCAAAACAAGGTGTTGATGACGAGAGACAATTATTGTTACCATTCAAGCTTGTATTACATTGTTGTAAAGAACAATTTGATGTTGGATTCCATGCTGAATGAGATGATGAAGATAATGTGAACTGAATAGAGGCATTATATTCACTACAATAATAATTAGGTAGTTGCGTAGTTTGTCCTATAAAATTCATTTATATTATGATAGAGTTCAGTGGAAGAAGATAATGTAATAAACCTTTTACAGACGAAAGAAATATAATGAAAAACAAGGCAATGATAGATCGCATTATTTTTTGTGTGATGAATGAAAAAATAAAGTATGGCGCAGCAATGAGTGATTTTTCTTTACTCTTTTTTTCTACCACTTCCTAAATTTCTCTTTTAGTTGAAAGAGCGTAAAACTGTTTCTCTCAATACTTGTTTGTATTTTTGTAACTAGAAATAGATTTCTTTTACTTTGAATTGTTTATTCATTTAAATGTCTTGAAATGTTTTTTTTGTAAGCGTTTGCCACAGAAAGTCTCTTAAATATCTATGATTTTCGTTTCATCAACATTTTATTTCATGATGTATTTCTGTTTTTATCAACGACGGTTCCCTTATGTTATTTCATCACAACTACAATCATGATATTTCTTCAGTCAAAGTTTGAAACATCATCAGTTATATGGAGCTGTTTGATTGACGAGGATAAAAGAAAGCATCTCTGGGACAGATTCATGTTTACTTGATAATTTCTCTATAGGAATTCATTTACTACACACAACTCTTCTAAGGTAAATAAGAGATTCGGTTATTATTATTTTAATATTCTTTTCATTACTTTATGTCTTTATTTTTCATGTGACTGTTATTTTTTAAAAAACATCATTCTTGTATAGAGTGAGAAATATATTGAATAAAATGATTAAATATGAAATAAATTTAGTTACTGTTAGTAATTGAAGTCTCTAGAAAAGAAGTTTGTTCATTGTTTATTTTTAGATTTATTCTTATAGAAAATAATGGCTAGTTCTTTATCTTTAAATTTAGAAACAGCAAAATTCAAGTCTAATAGAAACAATTGTTCAATAGGTTTATTTATAATTAATGAGATGAGAGTTTATTTCATGAAAAAAAAACGAGAAATGAATAAGATGATAATATGTGTAACTACAATCAAAAAAAGACAATATAAAAAAAAAAAGAAATATAGATAAATGATTTATTGAAAAGGAAAGATGATTATTTGTTGTAAACGCTGTTTAAAATGCTCTCATCATTTTATCGATGTATTGAGAAAGAATTTTAATTTATAATCATATGAAAAGAATAGAATGAAAGATGATTATGTATATTATGAGTATTTTTAAAAGATGTATATTTGGAATATGAATATAAATAAATGATGAATAGAATTTTGTTCATTTGTAATAAGAATATTACTAAAACTATCGAATTCTTTATTTACTACTGTTATTATACAGTGTATCAAATTCTATATTAAATTTTGTTGATGGGAATGATAATGATGATAAAAGCAAACAAATAGTATCTACAATATTATTGTGAGTGATAATTCAATTGAATATTTTTTAGTATCATAAAAGAGCTAATATTTCTTTATCAATTTATTAATAATAAAAAAAATTAGACTAAATCTCCATTTACTAAACTTCGTTTTTTTATTCTTCATCATCATCATAGTCATATTCATCGTCATCGTCATCATTATATTCTTCGTCATCATTATATTCTTCGTCATCAGTTTCTTCATTAACGGATTTAAAATCAAAATAAACATCTAATTTTGATGCATTAATTTGAATCCATGAATTTACAGGTTTACTAATTACTTCACATTTTACTATTGATAAGTTTGAACATTCTTTCAATATTACTAATAAATCATCAACTTGTTTCATATAATCACATGTAAATTGTTCGATATTTGAAAATACTTGAGAGAATAACATCTTAATTTTATTTAAAAATATTCTTTCATCCAAACATTCACTAGTAGAAATATCTAATTTTTTAATATTTTTATTTAAATATTTACATAATTGATTATTTTTGACAAACTTCATCAACTGTTCTTCATCGATTTTTAATGATGAAACATTCGGTAATTCTTTTAATAAATCTAACAATAATGATGGAGTCAAATAAAATTCTTCATCAATTGTTAAATGTTTGATATTTGATAGATTAACAATTGTACGAAGTAATTTAATTTCTGTTGCTTTTAAATCCGGTTTATCATCATCATCATCATCATCATCATCATCTTCATCTTCATCATAGTTTTCATCTGAATGACGTGTTAATATTAATGAGTCAACATTTTTGAAATAACATTTCGAATTCTTTGCAATTAATTTTGGTGTTAAAGTTAATGTTTTAACATTATCAAATACATTGGAATTTTTCATCCATAAATAACCATGTTTATCGGTATTACATGCTAATTCATAATTATCTTTTTCATATGGAATTGTATAAATTGTTGAAGTACGAGTATAAATTTCTAGATTCGTATACCATTGATGTTGTTTATGCCAAAAATCATTTTGAAATGGTTGAAATTTATTCAATTTTTGCATTGGCTTATCAAATTTCTTATCTTGAAAATGGAATTTGATAACTGATAAATGTTTTAATGATGTTTCAATAAGTTTTTGCCAACGAATAGCATCGAACATATCCATATTATTAGCAATAAATATTGAAAATATTTTTAAATTCGGTGTATATTTTAATAATAATTCAAGATTTTCAAATGTAGCTTTACAATCATTTATAATTAATTCTTTTAAATAATTAGCAGTTTTTTTCAGTTCATTGTATTTATTCATCTCTGAATTTTCTAATGTTTGAATATTTAAATATTTTAACATTGGTGCATATTCAAATAATTTAAATAAATTAAAATTATCAAACTTAGATTCAGTTATGATTAATGATGTTATTCCTGTTATTGTTTGATTAATAGATGTTGATTTCAATTCCAAATGAGGTATTGTTAATATCCGTAATTTTGATTTTGATATTATTTCTAATAGTTCAATACTTGTACCAGTAAAAGAAAAAGAATATAAATTAGATAAAAATGGTAAGATTGATAATAATTGTTTTGTATTATTTTTCTTTAAATTAATTAATGATAATGATCGAAGATTAAGAAATTTATTTAATGAAAATAATGAAAGAAAATGTTCAATTTGACCAGGTGTTCCATCATTTGATAATTGTAAATAAATAATTTTTTGTTTTATTTCAGGATTTAATAGAATTATTTGACAAAAATGATTAAATAAAGATTTTTTCATTTGATAAAAATTTAAATATAATGGAATATTTCGAATAAGTGTAGAAAAATGAGAATTTAATTGATCAAATGAATAAAATATATCTGGTGCATTGAGATATTGAAAACATTGAAGTAATAATTCATTTGGTAAAAATTCAAATTTCATTTTTATCGTCATCACTGTTTCTTTTTATTGTATATATGAAAAGAAGATTTGAATAGAAAAGTAAAAGTGTTAACTATGTAACGTTGTAAATAAATAAAAAATGGTCTAGACCAAACTCGAATGTGGCATATGAATAGTCTATATTTGAATTCACTCGATAATACGCGAGAATAATTTTCGATAGGTGTCCTACATGATCGAATAATTTTTTATTATGAAGTATATCGATCTATGAGATACTCACTAGTTATTATAGTGATAACCAGAGGAAGATAAAAACTGACTATACAATTATAGATAAAATATATCTGAACAAAAGTGCATTGATTTTATTAGAAGAACATTCAGCGAATAATTAATCAATTATTTGTTTAACTATATGCCAAATCAAGGATAATATATCAGTTAATATTATATTGAAAAGTCAGAATAATAATTTTTTTATATACCCTTTAGTAAGTATGATCAGTAATTCAGGATCTTAGACATCGAATTTTCTATTGTTAAATCTCCATTACGTTAGATTCATATCTGTATTCCATATCTAATCATCAGTAGACAAAGAATATTTATGTTAATTAGTTTCTAAAAGGACAAAAGTATTTCTTTACTTATTTAATTATAAAACAAAACTAAAGTTAGATTTAATTTTTTATTCGTCATTTTCAGTATCAAAAAATCAAATGTTTCATATTGTAAAATTCAAATATACATTTACTGTTGATACATTAACTTAAATCCATTCATTTACAGATTTCCTAATTATTTAAATATGGTAATATTTAAATCTTTCGATATTCGACAGAATGATAGATCGTTTTTTCATGCATTATAAATTGATAATTCCGTGAATAAATTTAACAATTTTATGATAAAATAAAATTTTATTTATGTTAGTAATCCATTAACACATCATATCAACATTTCTTAAATAATATGGTGAATTGTATGTAATTGCTTTTGCTGAGATAAAACTAAATAAATAATCATATTCAAGTATATTTAAAGTTATAATTTATATTTATTTCTTGTATATGGAATTGTATAAAATATTGAATTATGATCATAAGTTTCACAATTATTATACTATTGAAATTGTTTAACTTTACTCAATTTTGTATTAAAATTTTCCGAATGATAATAATATCAAAAATGGAATTTTATAATATTGGATTCATCGTATCTAATATTTAAATTTGAAATATTTTAATTATAAACTAACATAGGCGTCTTCGTTTTCTAATTATAAATTATAATTTAAATAAACTTTTTGTTTTCTCTTTTTTTCATAAACTAACATAGATGCCTTCGTTTCTCATTATAAATTATAATTTAAATAAACTTTTTGTTTTCTCTTTTTTCCTAAGCTAACAAAGATACCTTGGAATTTGAACTATAGTTTTTAGTCTAGAAGATTTTTTTTTCAGTTGTGAGAATACTGAGTTTCGAATTTTTTTCTGTTTATCTTTGAAGTCGAATTAGGCAGCTACTCATAATATGTATGAAAATATGAATATCTTGAGATTTTAAATAATTCGAAAAGATGGATTATGATGTTCATGATTGTGATTCTGTTTTGTTTTGTAAAGTTCTAACATCTGTTCATTGATATTATTGAAGGCTGGTGATGATCGAAAAAGATCGGAGGTTTCCGAGAAAACATATGATTTCACAAGAAACTACACAAAATTATATTTTATTGAAAATAATTCAAAATCTCAAGATATTAATATTCTCATACATTGAATTATTTTGTTTCTCATCAGAGAATTCTTTTGGGTAACACCAGTCGGTGCTATGAACCATGCATTCTTGATCTGTTTTTCTCTATCATAATAGCAACAAATATAATCATAATACTCTCTTGAACTAAGGAGATAAACAAACATTTGTAAATGTTAATTGATATAAAAGACAAGGATGAATATTATATTGTCAATATATATTAGAATTACTAAATTCGCGTTCTACATAATCTTCAGTAAAACAATTCAATATCATTAAAGTTGGAAAGAAATGACATAGCTCTTTAGATGTTGTAAATAATTACGTGCATGGGAGTCGTGCATAATATATTCGAAGTTTGAAAAATTGTTTTTCTCCGACAAAATATTGGAAGAAAGAAAAGACGTCATTTGTTTAGTTTGTTAGTTTACCTAATGTAATCATGTAGATGTTCTTGTCTATTTATAGAACATTTGCATTGGTTCCCATTATTTTTTATTCAAATGTACTTTTTCTATAAGACGACGTACTTTGTATTATTGTGATTATAAACTAAAGCAAACATTTGCTGGGCGACTATTTCTTACCGAGAAAAAAGTACATTGAAATGTATTGTTATGATAAACAATTATTTAACTTACTTTAGAATACTAAAAAACTGTTTGTTTTAGTTTATATGATAAATAAGATGTTTTGTTCTTCATTGAAATAATTCTACATAAAACATTAATCTTAACTATTTAAATCATTTTCTCATTAGTGAAGAAAAATGCGATTATTTATCGAATTACAAATCATAATATTCTTTTATCAATCAGGACACTATGAAAATCTGAGATGAGTATATTTAATTTTGGAGGAGTGGTTCGATCAGTTTGCTTCAGTTCTCGTGTAAAATCAAAAAGTTTTCATCTGATTATTCTTCTTTTAGATACTAAAGATTGATGTTATTCTATATGAATGGCGTAATAGATGACCAATACACATTCTATAATCTGTGTGATAAATTTGAAATATTCAGATTCTTTTTATTGAATAACAACTAAATGCTGATTATTGTCATTTCAAATTTAATTTTGTTAGATCAATCGTTCTTGATGTTTTCTAATCTTTTGGATAACTCCAAAGCTCTATATACGAATATATTTCTCCTTAAATAACATTTAAACACAGAAAAATCGTCTTTCCAAATGGATATTGTTTTTTTGTGAAAACAAAAAAAGTCAAGATTGCTTTTCTCATACAATGGATGAGAGAAAATGAGAAATAGAAATAATGACTGGTTTTTTATTAGAGTGAGGAAGTGAATTGAGAGAAAAAGAGAGAGAGAAAAAAATAGAATTTATCGCTCAATAAATACTCAGTTTTCTTCTATGAGTTGAATTTATTTCATCAACGTACAGTCTGGTGGTTAATGGCTTCAATAATATTTTATTTATGGATTTCATTCATGATTATTACACAAACAGTTGGGGAAGATATACGATCGGAGCAAATGTCTTTAATACCTGATTCTAAATTTCAATGTGCCAATACAACTTGTTTACCGTTCATTAGCGTTATTACAACAAACATTAGAAATTGTCAATTTGCCTGTTTAGGTCAAAGTCAATGCATAGCAGCAACTTTTCATCGTTCAACTTCAAATTGTGAATTATTTGATAATATGTTGAACCAAAACGGAAATATGTTGGTTGATATCGATGCTACTAGCATTAATGTTATTAGTGGAACACGATTTCCACCTGGTAAGTATAAAAATAGAACAGATTTAGAAGAAAATATGTGTGACAGAGATATTGAACACATCTATGTGTAAATTACAGATCGGTTTGCCTCAAAATGATAGAAAAAAATTTAACCAAAGTCTGTTTGAAAATAATTCCTTTTGAATTAGATGATCTTATTTTTAGAATTCTGCATTAAAAATACATTAGTAAAACGAAATCTCTGTGACACTTGAAACTGAACAATCAATACCATAGAACATTTAAAAAGTAATAAGATAATTATTCCATTAAAAACGACTATGGATATTATGCTTTTCATATTCATCAATTTATACAAAATATCTGTTGTTCATGAAACAAATTTTCACCGGAATTCCATAGAAATATAGCGCATTGGACAGATCCTTAGGAAATAAATAAGAAATTACAGCATTTTTTTGATTTAGATGATAATCACAAGTATTTTCAGGTTAGTTTTGCAATGTATTAAGTCATGCACAAAAACTGATTTTAAATTGGAAATCTGTTAGTTCTGAATATAACCTAAATATGTCATGCGGAAATTTCCCTATCTCAGAAAGAATCTCTTAACAGTACAACCAGATACACTGCAATAATGAAGAATTCTGAGAAGAAAATCATAAATTAGACCAATTCAATTTCGTTATCTTTCCTTATTCAGTTAGAATTAGTTTTTTATAAGAACCTCATCTTAAATAAAAATAAAAGATTTCAAGAAAAGTATCAATATGCAAATCCTATATGAGTCAATCTTCCTAATTCTAAAAGTTTCTTTGTTATTAAACTCATTAAGAAATGTAAATTGAGTTCTCAAAATTATTATAATTGAAATATAATTAAAGTAAAGATCGTAGAACTACAATTATAATGGAAATTATTTAAACATTTTCTATTTTCTTATAATGAACCCATATTTAATGTCGATACATCCTTGTAGAAGACGAGAAAAAAATCTTATCCAATCGTTTAGACCCAGTTTAAATTCTTTTTCAAAATAGAACCGACTACGACAACATCAACAACGTCATCAACAACAACAACAACAATACCGCGTAAGTACTATACTAAATCATTTATAGTAACTCAAAGGATGATTAATAGAAGTGACGATATTTAAAAGTTTTGATTTTAACTATTGAATGATCGTCATCTAGATAGACAACATTAGCGAACATTTTCTGTCAGAAGTCGAAATAATGCCAATTTTTGATGATTTGATTTGATCTAAACTCATTCAAGTATGAATATTCCCATTCAGTCAAACAGTATCAGACGAAAGCATTGTTGATAAAAAGATTTTCATGTGGTACCACTCAATGATAATTTTAGTAATCACTTACACCCACGCACTTCAGAGATGATTGGAATAATTCTACACGTTAAAGTACTATTTGACATAATATCGATATGAGACATGTCTATCTATACCTAATCTTAGGTTTGAAGTCACATTTATATAGAGTTGACTAATTCGAAAAAATATTGCAGTAATGCAAAAAGCAAACTTCAAACTCGAGAAAAACGCCTTTCGGCACCATCAATTAACCCTAGTGTACTGATTTTATCATGAGAACAATACGAAATCGATATTCTCTTACTCACATCCATTCTTACCTACATCCTGACATATACATACACTATCTATCTAATATGGTGAAAGTACATATTGTTTACAAGATGTTGAACTATTTAGAATGAGTTTCATTTAAATTCCGAAATTCGATCATTATTCGCCATAACTAAGTTGTAGGACAGTGTTTGAGTTTCGTCAATTCGCGACATCAATAGTACTCCAAAAATATTTATGAAGTCGTTTATAACTTATTTTTTATTAACTTGATTTAACTTTCCATAATGAATCTTATATTAGCCATAAAGACAAAGAAGTTTATTGAAGGTTTGCAATCATTTAATTTGTGATCAATAGATAGATAATTTACCCCACATGAGAAATTCAATGTCATTTTAAGAACAACTTTTTTTTCTCACTTTTGTCTTATGTAGAATGGACAATCACTGGAAATATGAGTGTCGCCCGATATCTTCATACAGCATCCACATTAGCAAATGGATCAGTATTAATTACGGGTGGATATAACAGTGGTGGTTATCTCAATAGTGCTGAATTATACAATCCATTAACAGGCACTTGGGCAACCACAGGAAACATCAGTACCGAACGAGAATTTCACACAGCATCCGTATTAGCAAATGGGTTAGTATTAGTTGCTGGTGGATATAATGGTACTTTTCTCAACAGTGCTGAGTTGTACAATTCATCAACAGGTACTTGGACAACCACAGGAAGTATGAATGTCACACGAGATCAACACACAGCATCCATATTAGCAAATGGATCAGTACTAGTTACTGGTGGATACAACAGTGCTTCTCTCAATAGTGCTGAACTGTACAATCCATCAACAGGCACTTGGACAACCACAGGAAGTATGAATGTCGCACGATATCAACACACAGCATCCATATTAACAAATGGATCAGTATTAGTTACTGGTGGAGTTAGCAGCGGTGTTTATCTCAATTGTACTGAACTGTACAATCCATCAACAGGCACTTGGACAATCACAGGAAGCATGAGTGTCGCACGAGAATATCACAGAGCAACCACATTAGCAAACGGATCAGTATTAGTTACTGGTGGATTGACCATCAGTGGTTATCTCAATAGTGCTGAGTTGTACAATCCATCAACAGGCACTTGGACAACCACAGGAAGCATGAATATTGCACGTATTGCTCACACAGCATCCACATTAGCAACTGGATTAGTATTAGTTACTGGTGGATTTAAAAGCAGTAGTTATTTAAATAGTGCTGAACTGTACAATCCATCAACAGGTACTTGGACAACTATAGCAAACATGAGTATTGCACGAGATTATCATACAGCATCCACATTAGCGAATGGACCAGTATTAGTTACTGGTGGATACAACGGTAATTATCCCAATAGTGCTGAACTTTATTAATCGATATAAGCAGAATTGCATTTTCTTTTGTGAACTGAATCATAATTTTTTAATATGTAATCAAACTATTTAATCTTTCACATTTCTTAATACATTATCATTCACCAAATAATATATAAGCTGCAGTAATATCTCGAATTCATATTGTATGACGGCTGTTGAAAAAGAACCATGATTGATAAAAGACAGATCATTATTTGTACAACTGAGTGGATATAAATACAGATATGAAGAATAATAATCATTTGCTGCCCCCAATTACATGTATTCGAATGATAACATATGAGTTATCGTTTACAAATGAATATCACAAATGAATAATACAATAATATGTTCAAACAAATCAATTTTTTTCAACTAAACCCCCCCCCCAAATTAGAAGCCCAAGGGGCTTCTAATTTGGCTACCGTTTATAATTTTTGGAGGGGGCTTCTATTAGGTCCCAACAAATTTTCCTAGACTATGACAAGGAAACCGATTCGGAAGGTTTTTAGAAATTTCAAGGTTTTCATGAGTTTTTCAGAAGTTTTTTTGCAATTTTTCCAGATTTAAGCATAGTTAGATAGGAGTTAGTCGAAATTTTACCTTAAAATCGAGAAATTTTAGCAACTTTAGCAAGGAAATTCGAAAAAATTATGAAAAATTTTAAAAAATTTTGGAAAAAATAGGGGGGCTTCTAATACGTCAAACACGTTGCTCACCTCAGGGTGGGCTTCTAATACGGGGGGGCTTCTAATATGGGGTGGGCTTCTATTATAGGGGGGGGGTTTACATCCTTTTTTATCAAACAGTCTGATCAGCTTAAATTGCTGTATTTTAAAAAATGAATATATTTTATGTTCTTATTATGTGCATAATTCTATGAAAAGAATGATAGTCTCGACAGAAGAACAAGGCATATTGTGGAAAAATTATTGCTTATTTCTGATTAAATGAATGAAAAAGAGAATAGAATTTATATTATTGTAAGTAAAAAGAGACGAGTGAGAGTATGAATCAGTATTTTATTCGTTATGGATGTATTCATAGTTACGCCTACATGATGAAATTTATTTCAATCAATAATATATATCTCAAATAAATTGATATCACAAGTGAGAAAGTAAAAAGACAACAAACACAAAAGTAATCCACACGAAGAAAAATGAAAAAAAGTGTTTGGTTAAATCGACGAAATCTTTTAGTTATAGTTGATAGTTTATAGAATGACAAGCCACTTTATTCCCGATGTACATTATTAAAAATATCTCTGTTTTCAATGCTTTATTTCCAAGTCATATTTTGAAAAATACTAATGAAAAGAAAAGATAAAAAACGTTTCTCATATTTATTCTAAAGAACTTGAATAATTCTATTGTTACCATTTTGTGAAAAGATTCTCTTGAGAGAATATGTTGAAAATATGACTTCTCTATTTAAATTTCTCTCAAAACAATTATTTCATAAGTCTTCTTTTGATTCTTGCCTGTGTTGATATTAAACATTAGAAGAATCTATTATTTCTGTTTTTCATTTATATTTTCGTTTTGTACTTAAATTTTATTGATGAGCTTTATATCTAACAAGAAACGATGTCTGAAACAATTCGAGAAATAGATATTTCGAAATATTCTAATTTGAATCAAAATATACCATTTAACCATTACGTAGACAAGAACCTTAACAGTTTTATAAAAAGAAGAACAAACTTTAAAAAACAAGTAACGCTCGTCAGAGGACTCGCTTAGCTCTTTCTTGTAGAAATCCATCATCTTTAAATTTACTGAAAACACAATTAAAAACCGTGAGAAAATAGGTTTTTTTGATCTGTGAACCCTCTTCACCCACCCCTCGTCATGATCACCCAATAGACCTCAGATTCGATGTCCCTGTATTGAAATACCTCTAGAAATGTCCTTTCTCGAAAATGGATCTTCGATGTTTTTTTACCCTACAGACAGACAAGCAAGCAGCCAGTTTATTCTTATTGAACTCTTCTCTACGAGGAAGAAAATATAAACTAACATAAGCACCTTCGTGTTACAATTATTAATTATACTTAAGGTAAACTTTTTCTTTTGCTTTTTTCCTGAACTAACATAAGTGCCTTCGTGTTACAATTATAAACTATCGTTTAGGTAAACGTTTTTCTTCTTCTATTTTCCTAAACTACCATAAGTGCCTTCGTGTGACAATTATAAATTATAGTTCAAGTAAACTTTTTGTTTTTCCTTTTTTTCCCAAACTAACATAAGCGCCTACGAATTCGAACTGTAAATTTTGATTTA